CCCCCTCAGCCACTCACCCACCCCTTTTTTTTTGGTGTCTTGAATGGAAAGTGTTGCAACCATCCTTTGTGTCCTCTGCCCAGGCCTTGGCTGGGGAGGTTGGCATGAGCAACGAACTGGACGAAGTGGCCCGGGCCCTCTTTAATGGGCAAATTCCAAACATCTGGAGGAAATTAGCTCCCGATACGCTGAAGACACTTGGCAACTGGATGATTTATTTTAAGAACAGGTTTCTCCAATACACATTGTGGGTAAGTACGCAAGATGCCTTTCTAATGCCCTTTTTAAGGGGAGGGAGCCTGTGCTTTGGGGCAGAGGGCCCCCTTTGCAGAGCATGCCCAGTTCACTCTCTGGCATATCAGCTAAAAGGGCTACCAACAATGATGGGAATTATTATTACTATTATTTATCTGGGGGAGATGGGCGGCATATACATTTAACAAATAAATAAATATATTTATTTAAATTTATTGGCTGCCCAACTCCAGTGGACTGCTTACATGGGCCCGGAGAGCTGTGCTGGGTCCTGAGAACCCTCATTTACCCTGGGAAAGAGCCACGCTGAGCTCTTTGCTGTCCTTAGGTTGAGGAAAGTGAGCCAAGCGTCATGTGGTTGTCGGGACTGCACATCCCCGAGTCCTACCTCACGGCCCTCGTTCAAGCAACCTGCCGGAAGAACGGCTGGCCGCTAGATCGGTCCACCCTATACACCCAAGTGACCAAATACCGGACTGCAGACGAGGTCACGGAGCGGCCCGGCCAAGGTGAGGCGTTCCCCAAGACCCCTGCGTTCAGGAAGCTGGCCAAGCTGCTGATGGACAGGAGCAGGACTCGGAAGATGGGGGTGCTGTTTGTGCAAAGGGACAAAGTGGGCCCCTCCACTTTCAGCAGGGAGCGTTCTGGTAGAAACAGGCTCCCTTTCAACAACTTGTTCAACTGGGTTAAGGGGCTGGGGCAGCAGACCCATCCATTGAAGCTGACTCTGATTAAGCCACCCAGTTTTTTCCTGTTTGGCCCAGTGGGGAGCAAAAAAAAGGGTGGGGGGGGAAGTGGGATAAGAAATCACTGCCTCCTGTTGCCCATGGGAGGACTCTGTCGTTGGGTCACTTGATGGGAGAGAGAAGGCTGGGTCAGTGGGGTCATGTGTGAACAGGGCCTTTCAGGAGCCTGGCCCCTCTGGACTCCTACAGAACAATGCATTAATACAATCGTAAAATTAATAGAGCAATGTATGAATCTTACTAATCTTGCTGTAATAATAATTCGTTAAACTTGTGTGGTGCCAAGCTCCCAACAACTCTGCCATGTGTCCTAACGTCCTGGATTTGTTGGACGGGGGGCAGCATTTCTAAAATACGAGTGGGCTGGGTGTCTCCCTTCCACAGGATGCTTCGTCTCTGGCCTGTACCTGGAAGGGGCTGACTGGGACCTCGAGAACGGCTGCCTCATCAGGAGCAAGCCCAAAGTGCTGATTGTGGATTTGCCCATCTTGAAGATCATTCCCATCGAGGCCCATCGTCTCAAACTACAGGTACAGCTGAGGTCACGAGCTGTTCTTCGGTTCTGAGTTTAGAATGCAAAGTTGGGGGGGGTAGGATATTCCCTCCCAGATAGGCACGACCTTCTGTTTCCATATTGTCATTGACGGGCACACGGTTTCAGACCGGCACATGGTATGGCAGTTCTTCAGCCAGATGTCACCCTGCCCGCTGGGACATCCTGGATGGCGTTTGGCAGCTGGAATCTGACCATCCTTCCCCATTTTTGGCAACATTACTCTTCCCCAAACTATTAAGAAAACATCCCTTTGGAATATGATCGCATTATGATTCTAAATGCCTTTGATCACATTGCGCCCGTCGAACGTGTGGGTTTCTCTCTTCCCCGCCACCCTTCTGCCCTGAGAGAAAAAGCAAAATGATTAACCAGGTTTATCAGAGGATGCTGGCAGCCAGCACAAACAGGTTCTATTTTTTTTCTTTTTTAATGAGCAGCGAGGCCATTTACAAGGGCATCGTGACGGTTTTGTTTTTTAGAACACTTTCCGGACCCCGGTCTACACGACATCCATGCGGAGGAACGCTATGGGCGTTGGGTTAGTGTTTGAAGCTGATCTTTTTACGACAAGGCATATTTCTCACTGGGTCCTCCAAGGTGTTTGCCTCACCTTAAATGCCGATTGAACATCAGATGCAGCCATGCTACAGCTCTGTTACAAATTTTTTGGATGAGGGAAGAGAGAAGACCATGGAAAAACCATTCTTCCTCACTCTGGCCCCCGGAAGCTTCCTGATTCCAAAGATGTCTTTTGTAGGTTTGTTGAAAACTAATTTTCAATTAGTGTTTCTTGTTTTTTTAAAAACAAATATTTATGTATTGCAATATATACAAATAAATAATTTTGCAAATGTGCTGGATGGAGAAAATGTAGTTTTTGATTTAAAGCTACGGGGGCACCCAGAAAGGTTAACGTATTTATTATTATCCCAAAATAAATATATAACTTGGTACGGTTCCATAAAATGCCGTTAGTTTTGCTGCAACAGATTAACTTGTCTGTCCACCTTGGAAATGGATTTATTGGGGTCTTATTTGGGTATTCTTTAGCCAATTTTTCTCAGTGTGGATGCAATTTAAGCTGTCTGGTGAAATCACACGTAATATTATCTCCTTTTGATCTGCAGGATTGTAAAGAAGGTTAAGAGCATTTTTTAATTTCACAGGGCATTCCTCCCGAATTCTTTGAATAGATGCTTGGCAGTAATGTTTGACCCAGAAATTAGTAAGGGTTCCAAATTGATGCTGGTCAATGCCCTGCATTTTAAAACGGCATCGTGTTCAAAGTATACACCTTTGTTGTTCTTCTTCCAGGCAGAGTTTTAATGTCTACCTAAACATTTTTAAATAATCCACCACGAAAGAAATATCCTATCTTGGAAAGTGGAATAAGACCAATCTTCCTGCCCTCCGGCTGAATTCTGAACACCCAGATGGCAGAACCCGTGCGGTCTGGGAGATTCTGGACTTTACGTCCCAGGTCAGCAAAAGAGTAGCTGGACCCTTTCAGGACCGCATTGCGAGGAGGCTGGCACTGGGTTTCAGAAAGGGATTGCCCAGAGCGCTGAGGCATCAGTGTACCTGGGAGGCTCCAAGGAGCCTCTGCCACTTACTTTGGACAGCGGGTTTGGATGAAAGCAGCTACTTTGGTTCCATTGAAAGAGAATTCATTTTCAAAGACGTGTTTTAAGATGCGGCTTAAAGGGAGCTCTCATCTGGGCAATTCGCCATGCAAGAAATCCATTGTCTGGGTGCAGCTATACCATTCTGGAATTGGAGGTGCTTCCAAAGTAGTTTTCCTGTGCATCTGTGTGTGCGCGCGTGTGCAACTGCTCTGCTTCATTCCCTGAATTTGACAGGGCCAGTAGATTTTTTTCCCTACTTTTGGACTAGTAATTTCAGATGTTCAGTTTAACTTCCGTACCTCTGCTCAGTTCCCCTGCACTCCTGCAACCAAAACAGAAGATTCCCCGCATAGGCAGATATCTTCCCCTTAGCGTGCTGTGGTGCAAGCCCCCCAACCAAGCATGGGGGCCAAAGGGCCAGGCTGGCCTACAGAAGACCCTTGTATCGCCCTGATAGTTGGTTCTATTCTCCACCTCCAGCAGAGTCCCCCCTGCCAGCCCGCTCTGCCTTTGCACAACAGTGGGCTTTGGCTGCTCCTCTCAGTCCCCTTCCACTCTCCCCCGATTCTCTTCCACACGTTGAACAAAGGACACAAACAAGCTCAGCCAGGATTAAGGAAATAGAGTTTGTTGGGATTTTAGTTAGCGCTAGATAAAAACGTTAACAGAAAAGAGGAACACTGTGATCAGGACCATGTGCTGGAAAGGGGGGGGGCTCCTTCGGCTGGTCTCCTTCACACCCCGGCACCTATGTGGTGGTCCAAGCTGCCCCGCCCCCAAATAAGAATTTATCACGACTGTGCGAAGTGAGAGAGAGACAGGGAAGGCTTTACTGTTAAGAGCCAATACACAGCGCGGCAGGGCTATCGTGAGGCGGCTGATTTCATTATTACTGTGGATTCACAACCGACGGTGGCCTGGGCATTGACCCATAAGCGCGCCCCGAATAAACGAAGGAGCATTGGAAGCAAGCATTCAGGCAGACACCTGAGTTTGGCTACAGCGTTTCATTAGGTAGATACTCTGCAATAGGAACATGGGGGGGTGTTTTCTGTGGGAGGAGGAGGTTACTCTAGTTCTGGAAAGAATTTGGCATGCAAGGGGGCACTCGGAAGGTGGGAGGAGTGTGACTGCTGCAGGTGCAGTTAAGCCTCTGGTGATCACAGTGTCGAGAGTCCCCTCCAAGCGCCTCGTTTAAACAGTTCTATCTGTCCCTGAATGCTTTCGAACCACTTTGCTTCCGTTCACCTGGTCCACGGCCAGCGTCTCCACCTCGGGCTGGGCCTGGGGAGGAGTGACATGATGGATGCGGTGCGCCACCCCGACATGGGTCTTGTGCTGCCTCTCCCGGGCCGGGCTGTGGGGCTCTGCCGAAGGGCGTTCGGATGGAATGGGTGGGATGACTAAAGGCCTCTCTTTCAGAAGGTGGATCTCGGCGGTTTCCCGAGCCAGTAAAAAAGGCGTGGGGTCAGGCATGGCATCGACGGGCTCCCGCAACAGCAACTTACGGCTATCTGACCCTAATCGGTAGGCCTCCTCGAATTCGGGGTTGAGTGGAGTGGAAAGACTCTTCTTCATCCTGCGCCGCGGAGTTTCTGGGAGCTTCTCTTTGGGAGGAGCAGGTTTGTAGCCCGAGAGCACGGGGCTGCCGGATGGAGAACTGTCTGAAGTCCCACTAGAACTCATGAGTTTTTTCTTAGTTGCATGCAGCTGGGAGGTTAGGTAGGCAATAGTGCTGGCCCGCTGCTCCAGTTCACTTGACAGCATGTTCAATTTATGGCTTTTCATTTTTAACTCTTCCAAATACTTCTTCTCCCGCTCCTTGATGGTGTTCTCAAGCACCATGATCATGGCGTTCTTTTGCTCCAACTCTTTTAATAATTCATTGTTTTCCATCTCTTTCGCTTTAAGCTGGGCCTCCAGTTCTTCACATTTTCTTTTGAGCTCTTCACTCCTTGAAGTCCCATTTTCTGAAAGAGCGAGAAGAAAGAAAGCACTTATTTCAGGATATCTAAGAGGCCACAGCCACTCCACAAAGGTAATTAAAACCAGAATTGAGAAGCAGAAAAGTTTTCCATGCTGGTTGCCTGAGAAATCACTACAGGCCAACGAATGGTACATTCATATTCTGCCTTTCCTCTAAAAACACTGCCCAAGGTTGCCAACAAGGAAATGCGGAGAAAATAATGGAGTTTTGATCTAATAAAAACCCAGCAACTGAAAATGCACCTTCCACAATTTTTTGAACATAATGAAGGATATCATAAGTAGGGAAGAAAGGGGGTATACATGAAGTACGTTCAAATTCCTCACCTGCAAAGTCTGAACTTTTGAGAGTCAACTCGTACGTCAGATCTGAAAAACATACAGAGTTAAGACACTGCAGAAACTTGCTCTCAGGTGGAATCTTCCTGGGGAAAATGGGCAACCCATAAATTAAACATATTAACAGAGCCTTTCCAGAAAACGAACAATGCTTTATGATCAAATGACTTGCAAAGTTATGCAACAGATCTCAACACTGGGAAACCTATTTTATTTAAAGGATACTTTTATCCACTTTTCTGTCAATGCTACAGCAGGCAACATAAGCTCCCCCCCCCCTCAAATCTGGGCACACCAGCCAAGCAAAGAATTAAAAAAACAGGTTATCAGCTCAGTTGCCTGAAAAGCCAGGTTTATCTTGCAAGTACTAAAATATCAGCACTGGGGGAGACTTTCAGAGCCTTTTCAAGGGGCATTTTCATAGTGCAGGGCAGTGTTTCTCAACCTTGGCCACTTTAAGAGATGTGGACTTCAACTCCCAGAATCCCCCAGCCAGCATGGCTGGCTGGGGAATTCTGGGAATT